CAGGCTCTAAGCCTAAGCCAGTCAGGCAAGACAAGCCAAGCCAGGACCTGTCTGGCCAGGCTCTGTCTTTCTCGTGGACCCATGATTGATTACAGTTGCCTAATATAATTCTGAACCAACCCTGGTCCCAGCTACAGCATAGAACTTTGAAAAAACTAAATAGCTACCGTAAATACTCTATTAGAACGCCAGTTTCTCGTACAATCGCGTAGTCGCAAAAGGATTTCAAAAGCATTTTTAATATTTCATTTTTTTTTCAGAACTCTTATTTTCAAAAATTGCTTCGTTGTTCTCAAAAATATAGCCCTGAATTTCAGCTATTTTTTGATAGCTAAGCCCACATTGTAGCTTAAAGCAGTGCCAAGAAAAACTCGTTTAAAGTTAGACTACACGACTGTACGCGCCGTCATTATGGGGCTGGCGTTCGATTAGAGTACGGTAGATAGTTTGAAAGTGGATCTAAAGCTTATAAAAGGTTTATAGAGTGGAAAGCTTAGCCTTTCATTTTGCTTAATTTGAAGCAGTTTTCGAAAAGGTTAAAAGTTGTTTCCGAACCAGACCAGACCTGGCTTTGGCCTGGATCTGGTCTGGATCTGACCTGGCTCTAGCCTGGCTCTGACCTGGCTTTGACCTGGCTCTGGCCTGGCTTTCGCCTGGATCTGGCCTAGATCTGACCTGCTTTGACCTGGCTCTAGCATGGCTCTGGCCTGGCTTTGGTCTGGCTCTGGCCTGGATCTAGCCTGGCTCTGACCTGGCTTTGACCTGGCTCTAGCCTGGCTCTGACCTGGCTCTGACCTGCTCTGGTCTGAGCCGGGAAGAATGGCTTTGGCGCAACGCTGGCTACAGCAGTTCAAGACTTCTATCTATTTTTCCAACTCACGCATTTCGTCGATGAGTGCCTGCAGCTGTAGAGCACATTCGGAGTCGGGTTGGCCAGTTGGATGCGGATTGGTGACACCGATCCCATTGACCGATGTGGTGGAGACACCGGGTTGGGGTCCTCCGTCTCCATTCTGCGCGCCCATCGCATCCGAGATCCACATCCAAGTATCACTAGCTCAGCGAATTTGTCAGTTAATGGACCTGTAAAAGTAGATAGCTCAAAATTTGTAAACACACTGCACTAAATTCTTCATTTTTCTTGCAAAAATGGAGAATTCAGGGTAGCAGATGCGTTTACAAAAGTTGAGCACAAAGTACACCAAGAAAGATGTTCAAAAGATGTTCAAAAGAAAGTCAGATATCAAAGTCAAATATCTTTAAAGTCAAATAGGAATATCTTAACTGGCAATGTTTAGTAATGAAATGAGAAAAGGGGAAATTTTGAGGGAAATCCCACTCCCAAATTGCTTACACATGGGCGAATGCGAAATCACTAAATCGCAAACCTCATTTGTCCCATGACTAATTTGTCTCGTGTTTTTGCAAACAAAAGGAAAAGCTAGTCTAGAAAGCTGGATAGCTGGATAGCTGGATAGCTGAATAGCTGGATAGCTGAATAGCTGGATAGCTGGATAGCTGGATAGCTAGAAAGCTAGAAAGCTAGAAAGCTAGAAAGCTAGAAAGCTAGAAAGCTAGAAAGCTAGAAAGCTAGAAAGCTAGAAAGCTAGAAAGCCAGAAAGCTAGAAAGCTAGAAAGCTAGAAAGCTAGAAAGCTGGAAAGCTAGAAAGCTGAAAAGCTAGAAAGCTAGAAAGCTAGAAAACTAGAAAGCTAGAAAGCTGAAAAGCTAGAAAGATAGAAAGCTAGAAAGATAGAAAGATAGAAATCTAGAAAGATAGAAAGATAGAAAGATAGAAAGCTAGAAAGCTAGAAATCTAGAAAGCTAGAAAGCTAGAAAAGCTCTTTTGCAAATCTCTTTGGCTATTTCGTTTTCTAAAAGAAAATTTCAGACAAACTATCTGCCAGTTCTAGATCAGTCCAATTTTGCTATCATTGCCTTGTGATTCCATCAAAATTGAATTGATTGAATGGAAACTGGTGTCCAGATTAACAGAATTTCAGCTATTTTTTGATAGCTAAGCCCACATTGTAGCTTAAAGCAGTGCCAAGAAAAACTCGTTTAAAGTTAGACTACACAACACTCCGCACCGTCATTATAGCGTTGGGGTACTATTACAGTATTTATGGTAATACTAATCTTGTCTCGATTTTTATCGAAGGCTTAGAAAACGATTCAATTCAATTCAGAGCCATCAATTCACTTCTAAACATGTTCACAAACAAATATTACCAAATTAGTTAAAGAAAACAAAGAAATGCGAAGATTTTCCCTCTTTCTTGAGATCACGATGTAATAAGGAAGATCCCCTTTGCTTGCTCTTCTTCCTTTCTTCTTCCTTGTCTTTAGCTAAAGAACTTAGACAATAGTCTTTAGTCTTAAGTCTTAAGTCTTAAGGCTTTAGTCTTAAGTCTTAAGTCTTAAGTCTTAAGTCTTAAGTCTTAAGTCTTAAGACATTAGTCTCTAGCCCAATTTTTTAGCTATTAGCATCAGCAGATCTCTACAATGTCGCTGCACAACCCGTGGAAGCGGTCGAGGCTCGTGCTCCTTCTTATCTCCAGAAAAACGAGGAATCAATTGCATTAGAAAGCGTACGTTTACAGCTTTTGAAAAAGATAGAAAAAGGAGCTGGAAATGATCGTTTAAATCTATTCTTTCTAAATGTTTTTCAGCGTAATGTTTACAATGATTGCAGCGTAACAATTACATCAACAAACTACTCTAAAAAAAGGTTAAAAAAGGTTAAAAAAAGGAAACTAGGCATATTGGCAATATCGAGAAGGTGAAATGGAATGGAATTGGAGGAGAGAAAGGGAGGAGAGGGAGGAGAAAAGAGAAATGGAGCAGAGGGAAGGCTCGAAAAGAAATAGGGAAAAGAAACGGGGAAAGAAATGGGAAAGAAACGGGGAAAAGAAGCTGATAGAAACAAGGGAAAGGAAGAGATTGGGGAATAAGGAGAAGCAAGAGAATGAGTCTAGAAGAGACCCTGGGAAAGGGGTTCTGGGTGGAACTGGGAGCTGAGGCTGTGCCCCCCAGCTCCTCTCCCCGGTCCAGGCCCCTTTTCAATCCCCTTGCCGGCCAGAGAACAGACTTTATCCAGAGCTCCTTTCCCCTCTTTCCTTTCCTTTCCCCTTTAGGCCCCAACTGGCACCATTAGCGGTGCCCATTTTACCCCACAGCTCACTCTCCCATCTCTACCAATTCTCTTTCTTTTTCTCATGCCTTCCTCTTCCTCTTGCTTTGCTCGTTCAATTCTTTTCCTCTTTTTCCACAATGATGTGGTTTGGAAATGTTCGTTATTACAAAAAAAAAGCGCTAAAAATGAGAATATGAGCCAAAAGCTATGCAAATTTTGGCTTAAATGTCTAAGATTTAGGGTTGAATGAATGCCAATTGGCCATAGAGTCTGTAAGGATAGTTCTGTCTAGAGCCAGGATCCAAGCCTGGCTTCTGGCGAGCGAATTTGAGGATTTCTTGTGTTCTGCTAATAAGATCAGGCTTACGGTAGGACCAGGGTAAGCCAAGGTTCGACCTACGGTAGGACCAGGGTAAGCCAGGGTCCGGCCTACGGTAGGACCAGGGTAAGACAGGGTCAGGCTTACGGTAGGACCAGGGTAAGACAGGGTCAGGCTTACGGTAGGACCAGGGTAAGACAGGGTCAGGCTTACGGTAGGACCACAGTAAGCCAGGGCCCGGCCTACGGTAGGACCAGGGTAAGCCAAGGTTCGACCTACGGTAAGACCAGGGTAAGCCAGGGTCCGGTCTACGGTAGGGCCAGGGTAAGCCAGGGTTTGACCTACGGTAGGACCAGGGTAAGACCAGGGCCAAGCCTGCAGTAAGACAACGGTAAGCCAGGGTCAAGCCTACGGTAGGCCCAGTTTCCTGATAGAAAACCCTACCAGCTCACAGTGAATTTGTTAAAAATCTTTTTTTTTGTGACTATTAACTTCAGCTGAAGCTATCGCCTGTCCAATGTAACTAAGAAATGAAAATATTATTTAACCAACACATAAACACATCAATACCCGAAAAAAGATGAGATTCTATGAAAGAAAGAGAAATATCTGCTATTCAATCAAACACATAATCCACTCGTGTTCTCGCATTTCGTTCCACTTGGACATTTGGAGCAAAATGGACCAGGTGAGTAGGCGTTCGTTCGCAGGTAGTTTCCACTAGAAATAAAGAGGCTTTGATGGGATATAACTTCGCCTAGAGATTATATTATTGTTAACTTTTTATATCATTGGATAGAGGACGATTTAGGCTTTCAAATGATACTAAATAGAGTTTGATTGGATTATCCATTCCCATGAAAACTAAGCAATACGGCATCCGAGTTGGATCGGCCTCGTTTGTCCAGAGTTAGCTTGAATTTCTCTGGATCGGTTTATCCAATCAAGCTCTATTTAGTGTCATTTGAAAGCCTAAATCGTCCTCTTTCAAACGATATATAAAGTTAGCCATAATATAATCTCTAGGTAAAGTTATATCCCATCAAAGTCTGGCCAGTCATTCAAAATGCTCGGATTTCGGCCAAGCCCTATATTACTTATTACTTATTACTTATTACTTTACTGTATTACTATATTACTATACAAATGTCATAAGTACCATTCTAGCTTTTGTATAGACATTGAACTAACGGTTTTGTGTATTGACAGACGACGATGACGTTATGTTTCCCATTGCACAGCGTTGCTCCACAGCCCATCTCGCTTGACGAAGACCAGGCCATCTTCAAAAATTGCTATGACGATAAAAATAAAGAATTCAGTGCACCAGAAAAAATGCGTTTACAAATTTAAGCACAACATACACTTGGGTAAACAGATGACAGCTAACTTGACAGCTAAACTTGTCCTTTTTACCTGTGTAGCATGCCCCACTCCTGTGTCGAACACATCAAGGTTAAACGTTAGATTTAACCAGCCGAATTGTTGAAACTCGTTGGCCCATGCGGTTGCTGACTTATTGCCTGTAAAACATGTTCAAAAGTCTATCCTTTTTCCCCACCTTTTCCCTCAATTCCATCAACAGCTGATGACCAGGACATGTACAAATTCTCTCCAACACCGTTTGTTTGAGAATGCTCGAAGATACACTTCTCAGAGTAATTCTGTGCTGATGACTCGAGAGATGGAGACCATTTCTGGAAACGAGCATTTGTTGCATTGATTTTGGCTTAGGTTTTCTTCGATTTCAGTATTAATTTAGTCTACTTTACGCAGAAATCCTCTTTTTTTTAAATACTGGTGCTCCAGAGCTGTTCCAGAAAAGCAAAAGCTGTGGCTAGTCAAGCTAAGCTCAAGCTGAGCCCAAGCCAAGTCCTTGACTTAGCCTTGGTCTGGAATTTCAACCTTACTCCTGGACTAGGCTCTTCACTAAGGCTCTTCACTCCTAAAACCTTAACTTTGGCTCTGGTTTGGTCTAGAATTTGAGCAAAAATAGAGCAAAAAAAACAATTGTCTTGACTTGGAAAATCTGAAAATCTGTCTTGACCTGGAAAAAGCGGCCCTAGCAACACCCTTGGCGAATTACCTGCCTAGATTAAGTGTCTGTCAAACTATTTGTTTATTTGTTTTTGATCAACGAGCTGAAAAACCCGCTCAACGGCTCACGTGGGCGGGTTTTTCGGCTGGGTAACTCTTATCGCAGTGGGCACTTGTCTACGGGGTACATGAGCCGGGTTCGACGCCCCGTAGTGGCACTCAATTTTTACTTTTCCAGTTTTTATTTCTAATGGAACAACTACATTATATTCTCAGTTTTCTAAAGAAGTTTTCACGTTATTGGTCAAAACACGGCCAAGAAAATGCCCGTACAGACAGACCGACAGATAGACACACAGACAGACAAACAGGAGACAGACAGACAGACAGACAAACAGACAAACAGACAAACAGACAGACAGATAGACAGACAGATAGACAGACAGACAGACAGACAGACAGACAGACAGACAGACAGACAGACAGACAAACAGACAGACAAACAGACAAACAGACAGACAGATAGACAGACAGGCAGACAGGCAGACAGACAGACAGACAGGCAGGCAGGCAGGCAGACAGATAGGCAGGCAGACAGACAGACAGACAGACAGACAGGCAGGCAGACAGACAAACAGACAGATAGACAGACAGACACTGCTTTTTTATATATAGTCGATCTTTTTTTCTTTTTTCTGGTACAATGTGATGACAGATAGCCTCTACTTAGAGGCTGAGACTTCTCCGTATTTTCAGCAGGCCTATGAATCTAATCTACTCACAATTTTTCGCATATCCGCCGCCGGAGGCACCAGTTTCCCCTTTGCCGTGAACTTTCCAAGCGCGATTTGAGCACGCAGATTGTTGTGTACCTAAAAAAAAACTTTAGTAAACAAATCGAAAATTCGACTTTTCTACACCTTGAGGGTATTTCTTTCTAAACTACCGTAATCTTGTCTCAATTTTTATTTAATTCATCCACTTTTCTGTAAAGGTTCATAAATTTCATAAAGGAATGAAATATAAAAAGTAACTCAATTATCGTATTCTACAGTACCTACAATACGTCTTAAAGTCTCTACAACAATAGCCGTCAAAAATCGATTGATTAAGAGAAGATTACGATATTTTGTCGAGAGTTTTACGTTTTAGGAAATGGTTTTAAGTAAAAGACAGTCAATTGTCAAAGACAATCAATTGATGAAGCTTACCCGTAAGAGATCATCTTTATCCTGTTGTTGAAAGAATCCAAGAACGATTGCAGGGAAAAAAGCTAAAAACAAAACACCCAACATTTCAGCAAAGTTATGCGAAATCTTGAACCCGAGTCAGCTAAATAGGTGACCGAATCGTGTCCACAAATAGTCGTTTCGCGGGGATTTTTCTGCGAAAAGAGACAAATGAATAGGAAAAAGAAACCCGTTAGAAAAGGGGAAACGTTTTCTGAATGAATTCAATGATTGATAGTAAAAAGGGACGATTTCTGAGACGCGTGTTTCTGCTCGGGTTTTTTTCTATTACTTGCTTGCACAGCACTTATCCAATCTTCTTACTCATACACTCGTTTTGCTCGTCTAAAAAACGTGTACGAAAGCAATTTGGTACAATATTTGCGATTACGCTAATCTAAAAAGCATTTTCTTTATCTAGAACAAATGATAAACCAAATTAGCCCTTATTCTCGCTAAAAATCACTTCAAAAACTGTAACCTCTAAATTCCAAACCATCGCTCGTCGATCGATCACTTGAGAATCGCCAAAAGCATAATCAACACCATCGTAACATTTAGATGAGCCAAAAAGTAAAATGTGATTACGAAGATACATGTACAAGGTATTTGTTGATAGAAAGGAGTTCGATCATTGCATCCGCATCATCGATTGAATCGATAACTGACAATTGCAATCCTGAACACTATTTGTTGAGGGGAAACTTCATAGTTTCGCTCATTTTCCAGAGAATCGTCGAAAATTTTAATGAGATTTTTCGTTTTTTTTTATGCAAACCATTTCTTCGATGGTTTAATTGGGCCGCTTTTAGCACTCGGGCTGTGAGCACAGTAAAACAGCAAAAATTCGTATATCCATCAAAACTTGTAAGTTCGAACTTATTCCTGTTTTCCTTCAATTCTCCAATATCGTTGTAAAAATTTATTCAGGAGATCCCTCCCATAATTGAAGAAATCTATTAGAAAGTGAACATTAAACAAGACTTATCAAAAGCAAAGCGAGAACCAAACCAAAGTTACAAGAGAGAAGAAGAAAATTAAATGTTGTTGATGAGTGGATAAAGATGGAAAGAAGAAAAGCAAATCAGGGGAAAAGAAAATGAAAATCGATTGGGGTGTTAATACTAAAAAGTGCACCTGGGAAATCAATAAATTGGGCATTAATAGTATTACGGATAAAAATAAAAAGATAGTCAGGTTAAGATAAAATAAAAAATGAAAGCGGAATTTGGTGAAATATAGAGAAGCATCTGACAAAGTGAAAGCGTGTGTAAGACGGAAAACTAGTATCGTAAAAGCTAGAACCTTCAGTTCTTCGACGAGTTAGAAGAACGACTTCATCAGACGAGCCACATCACCGGTTGCAAGTAGATTTGTGAACGACTCCTTGCGGCTCACATTGCGACCACCTCGTTGACAGATTTCGAGAGTCTAAAATGAATTGAAATTGGTCAAAAAGTATTCTATCTGTGTTCATGAAACACGCCAGCCAACTGTGACTGCAGAATTTGACCAGAAGGCACGCTATCTAATACGACTTTCAGATAAAAACATACCCGATTTCTTGAAACTGATTTCCGACTCGACTTTCGGGTTTCTGTTGTTTTCGTTGCCGGGACATCAATGCACTCAAGCGTAATCATTCTGGAATTTGCAAGATTAAAGTCCCCAATTTTAAAACTTACTTTCCATCAGTCGAAAAGCGTATTGCCGAGCCGCCTCTTTCGTGATGAAACAACACTTTGCGCTCTTTTAGTGAAGCTTTTTGGGTGAATTCTCGAAATAATTTAGCTGATAGACGCTCATTCGGCTGAAATAAAATCATCAAACTTGCAATAATTTTATAAAACCTTTGTATCCATGAGTGCAAGAAATACAACTGGCTGAAGAGTTTCACAGTCAATCTTTATCCAGTTGAACTCACAAACAGCTGGAGCAAGTTGCCAGGCCTAAAGTGTTAACTTGACAATTTTATGGCTCTTTAGAACAGACTTTGATAAACATGACCAATCCTTCGGCTTTCAATTCCTTACATCCATGTAGTTCGATCGAGATTCGAGCTCGCCGGTTTTCGGGAATACGTAGCCATTTGCAAAGCAGTTTCTCATCCACACGTAGTGCGGCATGCTCACTCTGAAGAAAAAAATAATGGCTGAGTATTTGCCACCCATAAAACATGGTACTCACCGGTTGTTTGATGATCAATCTTTCCAGATCATTTAAGCTCAGCCATTGCCCCAGTTCCACTGTTTCACTTCCAGTCAAATTTTCCAGCGTTAATTCGCGTAAATTTTTTCGTAACCTAAACTAACAAAATAAACTAAAAGACAGCAAAACCTTACAATTTAATAGCAAAGAAGACCATTCGAAGCGGGCGACGTTTGCGACGTGTAGTGTCCTGCCAAAAAAATTGTCAAGTTTTAACTCTTTCTTACTTTGATGACAAGATGTAATGGATTTATCTCCGAGAGCACTCGTGCGAGACGCTCAATCCTGCCCGAGGAAAGAGCCGACACTTCCTGAAATTGAAAAGTTTGACCTAGCCTTTTAAACAATTTCAATGATAGTTGCAATATAATTTACCTCCATCGTTTCGCCACTCCAAATTTGTAGATCATGCCGAGCCCATGTCGTGCTTATATCGCGTAAGTACTGTGTTCCATTTGTGGTCGTCGCAATCTGGCCTCCGCTCATCCCACTCGTTTGAAAAGGCGAATTCGCTGGTGACCACGGCGGTGTGTTCTGAAAGCTTCAAATACTTAAAGCATTTGGCAAGAAATATACCTAACTTTAAATAATTTTATTCAGTTTAAATTTTTCCCTGCCTTTAACGGCATAAAAACTGACCAAGCCAGCTATAGATTGTGCGTGTGGAATGGTCCCCTGCCGATTTGTGCCAGCAACATATGGTGTCGGCTCGGCCATCTCTGTTACCTCGCGTTCAAGAAAAGCGCAGAAATTGTGGCAAACAACCTAAAGATCAATTTTTAAAAAGACAAAACATTGAGTAATACCTCTTTAATCTCATAATCTTTAAGCCATTGATTGACGTTCCACGAAAATGCCCAACTCGTGCCATCTTCGGCAGCTACTTGTTGATCAGCATACACCTAAAAATTTAATAAAAAAAGTTCGTTTACAACGATTAATGATTAATGATTAGTATAACCAATAGAATCACTTACGGAATCATTAAGTTTTGTAGGTGTTATTGTCAAATTTCTTAATGAATCTCTAGCGGTCGTCTTGCTCTCTCGAACCTTAATAAGAAAATAGACTTTGATTCACACGCCAAGTGATAAATGACCACTCGATCCTTGCCGAACTTTTTCATCTAATAGATCAAAATTTTATAGGTACTCTGAAAGATTCAAAAAATGGCAATTTGGGGAAATAAAGATTCTCATTTCCCGATCATTGATGCTCATTGAAAAAAAATGGACCAGATTTCTTCAAAAAACGCTTAACGATCTCGTCAATTTTCCTCTTTTTTGTATATCTAAGCAAAATTTGGTGACATGATCGATCTTCCGGGATTCCTTGCTCGAGTAAATGATCTGCATACTAAGAGAATTGAGCTACCGTCTCAATTGAGTTGTAATGGGTGCTCAAGGCGGTGATGAGTTGGAACGAGTCTGCTGGCAATGATGAAGATTGATTAAGCCAAACATTGCGGTGAAGGAACAGCACATATTGGGTTGGGGAGTATGAAATGGCGTTGACTTTCAAAGAAACTTCTATAAAATCGAGTGGTCTTTATCAAATGACACTCGGTTAGTATCATTAGAAAGATCACTTATTTCTCTACAAAATCTTATTTAAAATAGAACTCAATAAGCGCCCCAATTCCATAAAAGATAATTTTTTCAGAAATCTATAAATCGTCATTTAGAGAAAATGCCTGACGAGATCACTACAAAAAATTGGCTACTTATGTAATTAAATGTGCTCTAACTTTTGTTTTGACAAAATTAAGTTCAAAACAATGTGTAAGGAATGAGTCAAACAACGAATCGGACTTCTTGTCATTTTGACTGGTTGCGTTTAGAAGACTCAAAAGCCATTTTGTAGCGCAATGACAGACCTTTTTGATTATACAAACAATGAATTATATGCAGCTTTTATGTGTTCCAGAAAAATTTTTGAAAGTCAATTCCATACTCGCCAACCCAATACAATAAGTAGAACTAGCAAAAAAGACAAACTTTTATAGGTGGAGTGATGGCTGAATGCTTTTCGTCCATTAATAAATCATTTTCTTGTTGCAATAACTCATCCTTTGTTAACAATCTCTCGAGAATGATTCTAAAATAAACTGATTAATAATTCAACAATAAAAAAACCTTTTACGATCAGCAACGTATAACCGGCCAAAGCTTGCAATTCGTAGAGCCGGCTCCTCTTCTTCATCAATCTCAAAAATTTATACAATTGATTTTGTAAATAAACAAACTTTTTGAATTATATTTTGGTCTTCTTGTTGAGCGGCCCTTGTCAGAATGATGTGTCTCCAGTTTCGACAGACTTGTGAGCATTTGCGTAATGTTACCGGATCACATCTAAAATAGATCGTTAAAAAAGTTGTTAGTGGATTCAAAGCATCCCAATGTTTTTAAAACTTCAGCCCAACAACATCAGCTTGCACAACCCGAACACCAAATTTTCCCAGAAAACATTCAGAAGAAACAAACCTTTTAAAAACTTCCAGTATTCCGCGATCCTGATCAACCATTTCCGTTCTGTTCGATGATTCGGGAGACTTGTCTTGTTGAAACGTGATTTTTCTCGACAGTGACCTTTTTTCTTTCATTCTATCAGACCATCCGTTTTCTAAAATGATAAGTAAAGATTTTAAACAAGAACTACCATATCAGAAAAAATAAAATCTCTGCCAAATTTCAAAAATAAACAAAACCTTTAAGGAAACCTTTTGCCTAATTTGTTTTGTTTGCCGCTTAAAAGTTGGTTTAAAAGCTCAAAACAAAAGTCAAAACAAAAGACTAATTGGCTCACGGTCCAGTTTACTCTTCTCCAAAGTTACACTTTGGTGCAAAAGTCTTGATCGG